AGCGAAGGGAGCGAAATGTCAGCGTTTTTTCATATATTAATATTATATATAATATTAAATCGCACACTTTCTCCGACAAGTAAAATATCAGTAACATCGATGCAACGTTAGTGAATAATTCTTACTTGACAAAACCCGATTACGTGTGTATGTGTGAATTACTAAAATTAAAAGTGTATAATAATCAATAATAGTATCCGTACATTCGATATAAATAAAACTCACCATTTTCAAATTCGCGAACAGCGACTCTTATTCTCGATTAATAACCGTTTTATTTATATAAGAAAAACTAATCGAAAGAAATGGGCGCCGGGATGGTAAGATCGACGGATTTCACTAGATAAGTATACGTTTCACAACGTGGAAAAGAAGCACGGAGAAACGGTGCAAAAGCGTCACACAAAGTTTACACCAAGACGACTGTATTATCAGCCATTATGCGCTTCCGCCAAGTCCGAGTCACAGTTTGCGTGCGATGTGTATGTGTAGGTATCGATAGTGTACGTATATATATGCAGCAGATTATGCACAATGTTCAGCGATGTTGGTCGATTCAGGATGGTATCTGTTACCTGAACGCCACAATCATGAATATAAACCGTTAAAACACCGCATACCAATCTGCGACCGCAAGTATCCACTGCATTTGCATCCTACAGTGCATTTCGGAAGAGATAACGGGGAATATCTCTTTTTCTCTCTCCCGCTCTCTCACACGCCATTCTTCTAATTTTTTTTATTAATTTTTAATTAACGTATTACATCCTAGACAACAAAGTGTCTAAAACGTCAGGTCATAAAACGTTTTTTGCATCTAAAAGATGACTTAAAGACGTTTTGTCACAATTTTAGACTTTGTGTTGTTTTGGGGTGTTATTCGATTATTTTACAAAATCCCTAAAGTTTTTTTTTAGCTTACAATCCTTTTCTCACGAATGTATGTTACAGCGGTAATATATCTGCTAATTTACAAATCAATTAATATTATTATTTTATAAAAAAAGAAAAACTTATAAATGTCTCACCTTGTTGTGACGTGCGATTCCGTGATAAAGAAATGATAAACGCATGTTCTTTTCGAAGATGATTTGTCGGAGCAAGGACGCACACATCCGTGATAATTATCTATGTTTTCTTTTAATGAGAAATAAAAAATTGTGTTTAATCTTCATAAACGAAATATTGCACATTTTTTATATTGGATAATTTTATAAAAATGTCATTAATCACAACTGATTGATATGCTGATCGTTAATGATTACCATGTTCATTTCATTAAGCTAAAAACACGCAATCCTGCATAAAGGAGCAATGACACATAAACCAAGAAATTTTTTGTGTTTTTCTTCAAGACGAGATACAGTGTGCTTTTGTAAAGAATAAACTCAGAAAATAAATATTTATTGGCAGCAAAGGATTTCACTTACCAAATGTTTCGAGACATAAAGTCGGAATGGAAGAAAAAACAAACGTTAAAACTATGCAATAACGAAGGCACGACATGGTGGCCCAGAATATCTGGGTTAAAACCGAGTATGTACACGTACATAAGTTTGAGCGATCCTGCGTGAATCTAAGTCGACGACCGACTCGGCGAGTGAACGCTTCGCGAACGGCTTCCTGCTTGAGGAAGTGGGTGAAAGCAAGACCTACGCTAACAAAGTAGTACAATTCAGAGAAGATTGCCTCTTACTTCTCTTTTCACAGATGCATTCGTATAAACAGCTTTACATTATTTAATAAATATCGTTAGTACTTTGGTAATAGAGAGAGAGGAAAGAGATTAATCTGAAATGTTCTTTTCTATTTCTTTTTTCACAGAAAATGAAAAAGTTGATGGTTAATATAAATAGATAAATAGGTTTATATTCACATATATAAACTTGTATAATACATATATACGCTATATTTAATTAATACTTTTATGACTTATATTAATTATTTTATGTAAGCTGCATATAGGTGTGTTCTCATATATGGGTGCTTTCCAAGAAGAGACACATATGACACACAGTGTGACACAGAGCATCATTACATCTTTGTTGTTCGCCAATGTTAAGCAAGAATGATCATTATATTGTACTGAGTCACTTGTTGGAAGGCATGCTTTATGTGTGTATGTGTGCGTGCATGTGTGTGTGCATACGCGTATATATATATGTACTAAAATTTATGGAAAAAAGTTTGTATTATTTGTACATTTAGTTCACCTAGTCAAAAGGAGATTGGCTTTGTAACACTTTAAACTGCACAATGGTATTCCGGTTTTCGAACATGAATATCTTTTGGGATTTTTACATTGCTTTACCCCGCAAAGGATTTGTTTTGGTGGACTTTTCCTAAAATATTGAATTAAGGATACATAAATGTTGCGTCTTAAATGTCAGTATAGAAAATGATAATAGCAATAATTCTGTCATACTCTTTGGCAGAAGAAAGTGGAAAATTTTCACCGGGAGGTAAAGATATAGAACTTCCTTCAATTGTTAAGCGATACGTCACTAATGGTACTTGTCGTTTAGATAATCTTCCCTTACTGATAACTTTGGATGCTTTAGATTCTTGCTTCTTAAGCAACCTTTCCATTGTTTTTTTCTGTAAAAATATTTCAAAAAGGTTTTCATTCTTTTCATACAATTTACTCATTACTAAACATAATGCTATTTGTCATCAGAGAAAGCTTTTTGTTATTCACTACCTTATCTTTTTCTCTCTTTTCATCAGCAAGTTGTTTCCGTTTCAAAGACTTTAGAGCAGCCTTCTGTATAGCTTCAGCAGTCATGACTTTTTCTTTGTAACCAGTAGGTAACGACATGAGTTGTTCGACACCTGGATTCGGTTCTGTATCAGTCTTTCTTTCAAACATTGCTCTTTGTCGTGCTGTCATTAATTTTGGATCTTTTGGCTTAATTTTTTTCAATTCGTCATCAACCTAGAATACAATAAAATGCAAGTCTCTCTCTCTCTCTCTCTCTCTATTTCATTATCTTATTAGAGTTATCATTGAGCATGATCAGATATAAAGATATGGGAATACTAAATGTCATACAATTGTTTTTGCCTTACTACAATAAACAGAAAAGAGAAAAAAATACCTCTTCCAGTTTTCCAGATTCAATAGCGTCAAGCCATCTTTCTTCTTCACTGCTGGTTCCACTATCTTTACCTTTGTTACCTTTTGGAATTTTTTTTTTTGCAGTTGCTTTCGGAGAAGGTGCAGTACTTATTGCAGCTGTATTCAAACCACATGTTTTTAATATTTTTTCACGTTTATCCAAACTAGAAAATAATATAAATTATTGCACATGTGTGTATCATATGTATATACGATTTACAGGAATATTCTTGAAATTAAACATGATGTATTGCTACATGAAAATTAATAAAAATTATTTTTTTCTTAGCAAAAGATATTGATAAAGGCCATTATTTATTCAAACATAACAGGATACATATTTTTATAATTAATTTTGAAATTGTAACTCTAAAACAGAAATTAGCTGAAGGATGTAATTTTGTATGATTAATTCCTTTAGCTTTCTGATATATAATGCACAAAAAAAAAGATATAAGAAAATAACCACGATATAATACACATACCTCCGTTCATCTTCTTTTTTCATTTTTATTCGAAAGCTTTTCTTCCGATCAGCGTCGGTTGAGATTTCTACAAAGGCATCGCTGTCATCGTGCATAAGCTTTTTTTTCTTGTGCTTTTTATGTTTATGTTTCTTATGTCTTTTCTGCGGCGAGACATCATTTGTATCTAACAAAATTCAATTAACATTAATCTCAACATAAATTATTATGTTACACATTGTTACATACGCGTACAAAATTGATGTAAATACATTGAATATACAATTACCTAAATTTATCTCCTCTTCCGTACTTACATCTCTCGGCTTACCCATTAGATCAAAAACAGCCAGACGATTTATCCGTCACACACCAAGATTGTAACTGCGTAAGGATAAATAGACCTGTTCTGATTTGGAATCTGATTTGGAAAATTAAAAAATGTATGTATTATATATCATGTACTCATATGAATATAAATACCAAAATAATAATTAAAAATGCGTAGAAGAGAAGCAACTGTGTTAAAACTGTTTCGATATCTTCTGATAATTTTTAAGGTTAGGAAATTTCATTGCGTCATAGGCTGTATTCTAAAATTTACTGCCAGCGCTGAAAATCTATAGTTTACGTTACGTGTATTATACATTTTTAGCACTGGCAGTGAATTTTTGAACACAGTCATAATTGCACTGCACCAGTCAAAATGGGATCGATTTTGTATCTTTCACTTTCTTTGAAGACAGAATCGACTGATTCTGCAGAATCGATCCCCAGAATTGATCCCCTGTTCGACTTGTTTACACTTCTTACACTTTTTACACTTAAAATAAAACTGGCTTAGTTTCCACCGAGGGTTTAATCCGGATCAGGGGCTCAATTGTGTATTTCAAAAATTACAAAAGTGAGCAATGATTACTAGATATTAACCAATTAAATTATGAATATTCTAGTGAATTTATTCGCTTTTGTAATTTTCACCTTATTTCAAGATACACAATCGACTTCTAGAATGTAAGAACCAACTAATTATAGTCGAGCATTTCCCTGTCGTTTGACTGTAACAGGAGAATACTCGACTGTAGTTGGTTGATTCTTACATTCTAATCTGGATTAAACTCCCTCGGTGGAAACTAGGCCACAGATATATAGAGCTAAAAAGAGAGAAAGCAAAAACGCTGAAGGTGCGTTCCACTTAACTCCCGCAATGTTCGTGGAATTATTTTATCCTTGTTGTTTATTAAATATTAAACAAAGACAAACGATGTTTGCGAGCATTGCGATTTAAGTGGAACGCAGCCTAAGTGTAAAAAGTGTAAGCAAGTCGAACAGACTTAAATAGGCTAGCTCAAGAGCATTTATTAGCATTTATAAGTTCTACAGACTTACACTAGTCAATAAGTTTATAGATTCTAACATGTTCATTAGTTATCGTACCGACAAGATACTATTAAAGACCGACATCCTTATGGGAGTTCGCATCCTTGTGAATATTGAAGTAATTAAGAGTTAAAAACTGATAATATTGTACTAATTTTATGATTTATTAGTTTAATATTTATGCATTTAGAACTCAATAATACTCGATTTTTCTTTAAAATCGTAATTTTAGTATTTTTGTTAAAGTTTGATTATCAACAGAGATGACAACTGCAAAAAAAAAATTGTAATTTTTCTGTAATATATAGAATATTGTAGCTTTACAAGTATATATATTTATTTATGGAACATTTATGTAATAAAAAAATCATGAATTTACTAATGTATGAGCCAAATATTTATATTAATAGTAGCAAATTTATATCAATTATCGATAATGTCAGCATTCTTCAATTATTTCCGGGCCCTTGGAGCCCTTTTTATACTGCCGAAAATTTGCCCAGGGTTGATGGTCTTTAATAGTATTTCGTCGGTGAAATTACATAACAATATTCATTTTTACCATAAAAAAAATAGGTATTGTTATGCAGTTTACATCCACTTCTTTAGAGGACGGTAGTGTGCGGAGGAAGGAAAAAGGCCCTCATATCCTTTCTCAGGTTTCTTTCTGATTTCACCATTTCCACCTCTATCATGGTATGGCGCGTGCGCAATACAAAACCGGATGTGTATGTTTGTCCATCATACGTAATAGGGTGCTACAGTACAATTTCTCGTGTTTTTTTTTTGGCACGTTCCATCGCGCTTCGTGGACAAGATGAGAGTTACAGCGTTGGTTTCTACGATATTCTGAGAAATTATCGCATTGAAAATCTCCCGCATGAGTTTATCCCATTTGAATTAATTTGCAGCTGAACCGTGAGCGGGTTCGTTTGTTTGTCCTTGACGCGACCGATGTGGAGACTCCACGCGAGTCTCCTCGATAAATCGTTCAAAGATGCAAATGCAGGAGACTGAAGGTGCGGATGGTGAGTAAATACGCTTTCTGAACTATAAAAGACACTTTGATATAATTTCTCAAGTTTTCTGTCATTCAAGATTGCTGTTTTCTTAGTCCTCGAATAACATAACCTTGACTCGTTATCAGATTGATTCCCGTTCTTTACCATTATTATTCCGAGATTAATCCCAATCCTTAATTATTTGTCGATAATAGATTTGTTCATGTTATTCGAAATCCCGAAAATTTTTTACACTTAGAACAAAATAAACATATTCGGGTATTGAAAAAAGAGAGGTTGCTAAGTGAGTGCAAAAAGTGCAAGCAATGGCAACAGACGTAATGTTTGATTTACTTACTTTCGTTTGCGAACTTTTTTGATTTGCTCGGAAAGATACGCATAGAACGAAATGCGAAATGCATAAAATATCGTTATTAGTTTTCTCAACTTTTCTGTCTTGTAGAACGATCTTTTTCACAATCTTTTGGCATTTGTAGTTATTGATTTTCTGCGCGTATACATAACATTTTAGTATTCTATCAATATGAATATCGATTATTGTATTGCACTGAAATACGCCGTCTTTTTTTTTCTCAGGATCTCCATGGAATAACTCCAGTGGTTGCGATGAGGAACGTAGGCTAGCTCCAAAGGAAGGGAAAAAGTCAAATGTGTTACCACTATGGGGCAACGAGAGGACTATGAATTTGAATCCTTTGATTCTCACCAACATACAGTCGTCGCATTATTTTAAGGTGAATCTGTATGAACTCAAGACCTATCATGAGGTGATTGATGAGATCTATTATAAGGTCTCTCACTTAGAACCATGGGAAAAAGGCAGCAGAAAGACTGCGGGCCAAACTGGCATGTGTGGAGGCGTGAGTATGTTTTCTCAACAACATCGGATTTTTTCTTTTTATCTTTATCTTTGTTTTTTAATTATTAATGCATTTGTTGAAAGTCTAAGGCTTATGAAACATGTTGCACAAGTATATTTGCTTGTACAGAAAATTGATTATATTGCACTAGCCAGTGACCTATGGGCAAATTGTCAAATAAGAGTAGTAAGATGATTTGAATGTAGCAATAAGTATATATATATATATATGTATATATATATATATATATTTTTTTTCCATTATAATCAATTATTCTAGGATATTTTTTGAAATTTAAGCACAATTAGAACCCATCTCTTTTCGCACACGCGCTCTCTTTCTCTCTCTCTCTCTCGTTCAATACAATTGTCTCACTGTTATTTAAATGTTTAGTTACACTTGATCTGTATGTTTAGAAACAAATTATTAATAATTATTAATAATCATTGTTTTGATAATTAAAACAATTGCCAGAGATTATGTAGTGGAGTAATGATATGAAATAGAGATGGGGTTCTCAATATTTGTTATAAGATGGAACAAAAGCACAGTATAGTAGAAAGGAATTATTTAATTCTGTTAAAATGAGCTGTAAATTGAGCTATTAGACAAAGAAAAGTTTCGATGAATGCAATAAATGTTTTCATAAAAAATCGCAAAGTTTGTTATTTATACGATGGTAGTATTGCCAATGCTCGAACAATTTAAATGCCTTGGTACTATTACTATCGCCAGAAACAAAGTGTTAACCGCACCACTTAATTGCAGAGTAGCATGTATTTGGTTCATTTATTGTACGGTAACACGAATGTGACTTAACTGACTGAGGGGGGTGTAAATTTAGCGGTTCATGCAGGTACGAGGCGTGGGAGCTGGCGGAATTGTTTCTACGGCATATTGTCTATTATACAAACTCTTCACACTGAGGCTAACTAGAAAGCAATTGAATGGGCTTATTAATCATCCGGACTCACCATACATACGTGCCCTAGGATTTATGTATATTAGGTGAGTTTTATCTAATACATTTTATGGTGTCAATATGTAATTAGATATATTAAATGTATACAACAATTTCATCGCAAATATTTTTTAGAATTTTATATATATATATATATA